GTGACTGGTCTAATCTCCGCCCCCTCCTGTAATAAAGACCGGTCACTGCTGCTCTCTCTCCTTGTGCAGAGTGACTGGTCTTGTCTCCGCCCTCTCCTTTAGTTTCTTGTAGTGGGTGGGGCCTGCTGGGCTCCTCCCATAGATCCGCTCCCTGCACAGGCTATGCGCAGCACAGTGATGATATCACTGCTACATTTACAAGGTAACATTTGGGTTTGCGATCACACAAAGTGGATTTATATCCTTTGAGGAATATATGTAAATATAAAACAGTGTCCCTGGAGTTCAGCTTCAAAACCAGTCAGGTGTTTATTGCTGTTTGTTGGAAAGATTTCCCCTTCATTTCCTATCCTGGGGACACAACGGGAAGTAAAGAGAAATCTTCTCTTGATTGTCACCCATTTGAAATTTCGTCCTGCTCCGCTGACCACTGTAAACATTTTGGTTTTCCTATCACTTGGCAGTGGTCACCAAAACACATCAAGAGGGTGAATCACCCCTCCCCAGTGGGGACACAAACAGCATTATAGAACTGACAGGGGACTCCAAACCTTCCTCACCCCATCCGAGACAAAACCAAACGATTGGCTGGAGATAACATTACCATTCAGTCAGTGCAGATTATCCACAATGACAAAGAAGTTACAATATTTGTTTAAAGGCAACACAACACTATGGTGGGAATGCCAACAATCTGGCTGGCAGTATGTATGTACCCAGGGCCGGATTTCCCACAAGGCCGACCAAGGCCCGGCCTCTGGGCAGCAGGGAGTAGAGGGGCAGCAGGGAGTAGAGGGGCAGCAGGGAGTAGAGGGGCAGCAGGGGGGTGGAATTCCTATCGCCCGATGCCTGGGACATGCAGTTCTGGGTGCCGGGCGGGTAGTTGTTTTCTACATTTAGCCCGGCTATGGGCAAGCAGAGCTAAATGTACAGCGGGGAAGCCAACGCTTGTTTTGTACATGTGATCCCGGAGATGTCGCCGAGATCACCTGTATGCAGCCTGCAGGTCTGTCATTCTCCATGGGGGGGGGGGGGTTGTCGGGTAGGGGGGCGCATTTTGGAACCTGGCCGGGCAGCAGAGAGAGTACATCCGGCCCTGTATGTATCCAATCACATTTATATGAATACAATGTACAGAGATTCTCCAGTCCTATGCAACATATTTGTTTCCAGCACTTCCACGGTTCTTCTTACCATTCTTTACATCCACATAATGACTAGTTACAGCCAGCAGAGCCCACGCGTGTCACACTGCGTGTCAGTAGAATGTTGTCCATGTATTGCTCCGGGAATGCGTGCACTTAATATAATGCCTGCGCTTTCAAGCAAGTCTCCAAATATACATTTCACCATTTTCCCTTCTCCAGTTGTCCCCTGAGAGCTGTGTTTGAATCATTTGGGGCCTCCCTAGTTTAAAACCCAATCAAAGTCACAGTAATGGATGAGCAGTCAGATAGACGATGTACCAACATCCTCCATTTTTCTAGCATCACCTGCACTACTCTGTGCTGGAGGTCTAACTATGGCTGTATAGTCCAATAGGTAGCAATAGACCCAGTGCACTCAGTAATCAGCACTTAGTAAATGAATTAGACACAACCCCTCCTCCTTTCTGCAATATAAGTCTATTAAGGACACTTGTACAATGTATTAACAGCCTCCATTTTTCTAGCCTTACCCCCACTTCCCTGTTATAGCAGCTGTGTTGGAGGTCTAACTATGGCTGTGGAGTCCATTAGGTAGCAATAGAACCAGTGCACTCAGTAATCAGCACTTAGTAAATTAATTAAACACAACCCCTCCTCCTTTCTGCAATATGTCTATTAAGGACCCTTGTACAATGTACTAACAGCCTCCACTTTTCTATCCTCTCCTCAACTTCCCTTACATCAGCTGTGCTGGAGGTCTAACTATGGCTGTGAAGTCCAATAGGTAGCAATAGGCCCAGTGCACTCAGTAACCAGCACTTAGTAATCGAATTAGACACATCCCGTGCTGCAAGCACTATTTTTGATCGCAACGGACCGCTGGCACAATGTGCCTTGCGATCCCGTGTTGCCGATCACATTGCGGCCGGAGGGCGTGGCTACGGTGCCATTCACTTCAATGGCCCGTCACGCCCCCTCCTGCCCCACAAAACAGTGAGCTGGTCGCAATGCGATGCAGTGCGTTCTGGCCAGAATCGGCCCGCAACGCACTGCATCTGGTGTGAACCTAGCTTTACTCTGTTGAGGACACTTGTTTTGAGGGGTGTGGTTATTACTCAGCTCTGCCGGCACAGAGCACTGGAGGGGGGAGCAGGAAGCGGCAGATTTAGGCTGAGAGAAGGAGGTATTCTAATAAATGAGTCACAAATCCTAACACATGAGAGTGCCGCACTAGGTGTGAGACATCAACTGAGCTTTACACATCCTTGTCTAAATTCACCGGCCATTCTGCGTATAAAGTTATATCAATGAAGGCGTCACTTTAAAATGTGCATGCTTCCAATACTAACCATTGGCTGGTAGGGATGTGTAGGGAACAGGCACATACAAAGGGACACCAACAATGCTTCTTTCATAGAACACTTGAAATATTTCTTCTCTCTCTCCCCTCAGCACATTTTCTTTGTACTTGCTTTCAGTAACCACATTGAAGGCATGTGCTGAGTACAGGGCAGCCATCAGACATTTTGGGGCCCCTTACACAGCTTTAGGCCGGGCCGCCCGACGCGCTGGACTCAGGACTCACCTGAGAACCCACCCATACCTGAGAGTGACCCTGCAGAGCCCACCTTAGATGCTGCACAGCCCATTTGATACTCTCTATGGTGGGCTCTGCAGGGCCTCAGGTGGGCTGGTCAGGGATGCATCTCCCTCCCTCCCAGCTCCTCTTACCTGCTCCTGGTGCCTGTACACCTGGCCTCCTCTGCCGCCGGACTGGCTGGAAGTGACGCAATGTCACTTCCGGACAGTCCGAGATCAGAAGAGCACCCCGATGGGGCCCGGCCCCCTCCTCACCTGTCACCGTCGGCCAATATTCATGAAAGGGTCCCGGGCAGGCCCCTCAGGCTGCCTGGGCCCCTTACATGAGTATCCGCCGTATCCCCCCTGATGGCGGCCCTGGCTGAGTACAAACACTGACTGCACGGCTGCCGGCACTGAAATATCCGCATACAGGCGGAGCAACATAACTGTGTACTGTATATCACAGAGGTGCATTAAAGTGTGCGCGCTGAGCAGACTAAGCGCTTTTATAAATAAAGCTTCTTGTGTTGTATTCAAAAAATGGAGACAAAAGAAAACTGAACACGTTTGTTGGATTTGTAGTAGCTCTGAAACATTAAAGTGAACCTGTCATTCTCCTTGCAAGGGCGAAGTATTGGTTCACTTTAAGGCACATATGGTAGTGTTTATTCTGAGTCATAAATATAATATTGATAAAGTATATATCTGGAGTGTAATTGTTCACAAGCTGAGACAGATACAGTGTAGACTACCATGTTATCCCCATTGAAGGACAACACATGCGGCATCAAGTGAACCCGATTTGGCCTGAAATGGCCGATAGAACAATAAACATTGCTTGATCACATATCTAAATACAATGTAATATCCGGATTTTATACCTTTACCTTGTATCTCTCCTGGACTTAAATGACTCTGTTCCCATATACACTATATTGCCAAAAGTATTGGGACGCCCCTCCAAATCATTGGATTCAGGCGTTCTGTGACATTTCCATGATACTATTTCGCGGTCATCTGTGACTGGTATTATAACAAAGTGGAAGCAACTGGGAACAACAGCAACTCAGCCAGGAAGTGGTAGGCTAATTCATGTGCGTGTAAAGCCGCCCCAATACTTTTGGTAATATAGTGTATATGGGAACAGAGTCATTTAAGTCCAGAAGAGATACAAGGTAAAAGGAGAAAAGGGGAGGGGCAGAAGGAACCAATGAGGTTTAATCATGGCCGCCTCCTGTACATTCATTCTTCTCCTGGAGGTCTACATTTCCCAATTACAGGATATGAAATTAATTATTCCCATACTGACTTTATTACATGCAGGGTAAAAGACAAGAGAGAAAGGAAGGTGAGGTCACTTTAAATGTAGTGATTCTCTAAATCTAAGTCAAAACTTTTTTTTGTTAGTTTTGGATAAAGCAGGAAATGGTGAAACCCGCCATTCAGTTTTCTTTATATGTTGTGTCCCATTGGGGAGATTTCCCATCACTTCCTGTCCCAGAGACACAACAGAAAGCAAAATTCAAAGCAAGAGACAATGTCCTTGGTTGTTGTCACCAGAACAGGAGCCCCCATTGGGAGATTTTCCCTTACTTCCTGTTCCGGTGACAACCGAAAGAGTTTGCATTTCCTGCCCCACTAGTAGGACAAATAAAGAGGTGGGGTGGGGATCTCAGGAATGAATTTTTTAGAATTTCGGCAAGAAAACAAACCCACCTCCCTTGTGCCACCTCCACCTCCCGGTGCCCAGTGCAGAGCAGACCCCACTCCACAGCTCCTAACTTAGTCACAGGTGGAACTGGGAAGCAGCTGACATGTTTTCAGTTCCTAAAGGCATATAATAATTATAAGGCAGCTAAAGTCAGCGCGTACCATCAACCAAATAACAGCTAATGCTAGTCCCCAAAAAAAATTGCAACCGAGCTAACTGAGAAAGTCCACTAAATGTACGTTTGATCCATTGCAGCTAAATGCAGCCGACTTTTCACAGTTTTGCAGTCTCTGGTCACATGATTCTGTGCTGTGCAATCCCTGAAAAGAACAGGGGGCGGAGCTAGAACCAGAGAACACGCTGGCCTGCAATTTTACAGGTTCTGCTTCGGAGCCATTTCACAAATACTGGCAAGCACGGGGAGCTGGAAAGCGGGCCAGCCAGCGTGAGAAGACAAATTCCCGGACCAGTATCGGAGTCATTTAGCAGCCGAGCCGGTCGGCCCCCCCCCTGAGCCAAACACGGTGAATGTTTCCTGTTGGATTGGAGTGAATGTTTCCTGTGGCTATATAATCCTTCCGTTGCCTGTGACTCCGGGGTTCAGCTGGTGGCCCCTTGAAAAGGGGTTTGCGAGGCGGTCGGCCTCCTCCGCGGCTGCCCTCAGTCTCTGCTCTTCGGTGCGGGCCACCATTTGATCTCTTTGTTCGATGACCCTCATCATCTCGGCGAAGATCGCCTCCTCCTCGGCCACGTCCTCTTCGTCTTTCAGAGACGCTAAAAGAAAACGGGAAACGAGGAATCAGCTCAGGGTTCACCCTGCAGGATCAGCCATCTGCTTTCGGTGCACAAATCCCCCCAGGCCAGAGATGTTTGTTTATATAAGTATACAGAGGGTGCGGAAATGTTGTATGTTATAGTCCTGACCCCTGCACTGTGTATGCTATGTTATATGTTATAGTCCTGAACCCTGCACTGTATATGCTATGTTATATGTTATAGTCCTGACCCCTGCACTGTGTATGCTATGTTATATGTTATAGTCCTGACCCCTGCACTGTGTATGCTATGTTATATGTTATAGTCCTGAACCCTGCACTGTATATGCTATGTTATATGTTATAGTCCTGACCCCTGCACTGTATATGCTATGTTATATGTTATAGTATTACACCCTGCACTCTATAAGCTATGATGGAAGCTATACTCCTGACCCTTGCACTGTATATGCCAGGGCTAGACAAATCCCAGGAGCCAGGAAGCCAATGCTCCTCACAAATGACAGCCGGTGCCTAACGTTTAAGGTTTTCTTTCTAGTGGTTGTCCATGGAGCTGGCTCATTAAAAAAATCCTGCTGGCTCCTACATTGGACAGACTAGCTCCTGAATTCCATATACATTTGGTCTACATTATGTTGTACACTATACTCCTGACCCCTGCGCTATATATGTTGTTTGTTATAGTCCTGAAGCCTGCACTGTATACACTATGTTGTACATTATACTGCTGACCCTTGCACTGTATATGCATTGTTGTACGTTATTGTATAGTTTCCGAACCCGGCTGTGTATACACTATGTTGTACATTATACTCCTCACCCCTGCACTGTATACACTATATTGAATGTTACTGTGTAGTCCTGAACCCAGCTCTGCATACACTATGTTGAATGTTACTGTATAGTCCTGAATCTGGCTCTGTATACACTATGTTGTACATTATACTGCTGACCCCTGCACTGTATACACTATGTTGAATGTTAGGGTATAGTCATGAAACCAGCTCTGTATACACTATGTTGTACATTATACTGCTGACCCCTGTATTGTATTCACTATGTTGTAATTATGCTCCTGACCCCTGAACTCTATATGTATGTTGTATAATACATGATAAATAAGCTGGGTGTCAGAGTCCTTACTAGCTTTATTGCCTAATAATTTTGCCATCTACAAACACCCTTCGACCCCTCAGCAGCCACAACAGGCGTGCGCAGTACTCAGCAGAAAGGTCCGTATTAAATGATGTTTTCTACATATTTTATGCCAAAACATGTCTGCGGTGTAGTTGGTGTTTGTTTATCGCTGTATTCTCTCCCGGGGCTGTTGAGTTGCTGCTCTTTAACGAGACTGTAACAAATGTGTCAATCATTTAATTAATGAACAACACCCACTGGGCTGTTTTTCTGTCCTTACTATGATCCATCTTCCTTTATATACAGTGTTTTAAAATGAAATTGTACAATAGGGTAACAATAGACCTGTTATAGATCGACACCCATTTTAAATGAAGAATGCCCCACCCCTAATTAAAGTACATTGCCTGCCTACAATAGCTTGCTGGAAGCACTGCAAACAAAAAAGGATGTCGCTGGAAATATTTTGAAATGTTGACAAATGTGCAAAGGCCGCTTGCTCAGTTTAGTGTGATCTGGTATTGGCAG